GGGTCAGGAGCAGGAGAGTACCAGTCACACCTGGAAAATATAGAGTCTGGGTTTGAAATGCTTTTCTGACTGACTAGAGAAGAGTGGGTCTATTACAATTATCCAAGGCTTGGAAGATGGAACTCTTGAGTGTGTGAAGCAGAAACAAGCTGTAATATTTAGTGTCTGGCTGGGGTAGAGTACAGAGAGTTGCTGTAGCAGGGAGACCTAAAATGATGTGTCTGGTCATGGATGCAGAGCAATAACTGTTGCTACATTATTAATATAATTTTGTGAAAGTGTATGAAACACACAGAAATGGCTGTAGTGGTCGAGGCTGATAGATCAACCAGCCCTGTCCCTTGCCTGCAGCAGGGACCATCAGCAGATGCCCCAGAAGCTGCAAGGACAGGCTAAGCTTGTGTAAGGCTTGCCCTAAGCACTTTTCCAGATTCCAGATATTTTTGTCTCAGGGGATTTCCAGAGATGCTGTTGTTTGTTATGTTTAGGATGTGCCTACATTAGCATTTTAACTTGCAGCAGGATCTGTTTTGATGTGGAGCTTTGGGTCAGCAGAGTGGTCCTAGAGCACTCAGCTGGAGTCTGTCCAGTCAAGCTAACCTGGATGGTGTCCTCCAGGACAGCTCCTAATGCCTCCAGCTCCTACTAATGGTGCTCAGCTTAGATCAGGCTGGACCTGCGCTGAAATGACATCCCAGAAACAGACAATGGAGTCTGGTGTCATTTCTACCATTTGTCCCACAGACTCAACCTGCTAATGCAGTGCGGCTGTAGCATCCATGAATGCTTCACTTAGAGGGATGTCTTCAGGCTTCTCTTGAGCCTTTGTAATCTTTTGGGAGCCTGTCATGATTTTTGGCAAAATGTGCCGCAAATCTCCTGGCTTTTATCTGAACTACTTATTTTGTTTAGCTTGGATGCTCCCAGCCTCTTTTGGTAATCTTGCTTTAGTATTGGACAGATAGTGGAGACTTAATCCTCACCCACTTCTCCACTCATGATTATGTGGAGGGCAGGGTTTTCTTCTGCATTTGCCTGTGTTTGTGATGCTCATGAACCGGGTAAAATTAAATTCAGTGCTTTAGAAGCATAGTCATTTCACTTGGCTAATGTTAAAATATATCTGGTACCATGAAGCCAGCTGAAGGTGAACAAATTAACCTTCTCCTACCAATGATTGTCGGATAAAGTGTATAATGATAACATGTTTTGTGGCTATGTAGCTTGACTTCAGCAAGGCTTTTGCTGCCCTGACAGTTAAATCTTTCACTTAATCTTATAAGCAAACTAGGCTAAAGCAGTCTGACAGAAACTACAGCAGAATGATATAAAGCTGTTAGGAAACCATGTCCAAAGAGAAGTCAGTGAGAGCTCGCTGTTAAAATAGAAGGTTGGCTACAGCAGCATTCCTCAGTGTCTGCCTTGGGCCTAGCACCAGACCACATTTTCATTAATCATTTAGATGACGGAACAGAATGTGTTTGCCTATTAAATATGTAGATGACACCATGCTGAGAGGGGCTGCGAGTTCTTTGGAGGCTGGATGAGAACTCAAAAAATGGAGATGTGATCTGAATAGGAGCAGGTGTGAGGTATACATTTAGGCAGGAATGATGAACTGCACAAATGTGGGATGGGGAATGTTGGCAACTCCTTCCAGGCTCTACCTTTCCCTGTGGACTACTCTCAGTACTACAAATGTTAGTGGCACATGGAGTACCCTCAGCCGCTGTTGTTTTTCTTGCTCTAGAATTTGTCAGGGCTTGGGCTTGTCAAGGCTCAGGGCTCAGCTGAACTCCGTATTCTTTGACTGGGTTTCCTTATGAGGACCTAAGAACGACCATTGGACAGTGAGCTGGTAACCCAGCCGTGCACACAGAGGCTGCCCTGTCCAACAGCCCTAATTCAAAGAGTAAATGCTATAGTTTCCCTTCGCACACAAGTTTCTTGCACATAACCTCACGTTTTCCCCCACTGATTACTGCCATCTGTCACGCTGTTTGTAACACACTGGTCTCCTGAGTAGACTCAAAAGCTCCAGGTATTAGTGATGTTAAATATTCAGTTCATGTGCACGGTTTGGTCACACCTTTGAGAAACGAAGTTCAGTGTTGCTTCCTCCTCAGAAGATGATCTAGGAATCCTGAATTTAACATTTATTGAATATATTGCAGAAAATGCAAATTGTTTCCTGCCAAGTGGTGTCCAGGGCAGGGTATCCTGCGGGACATTCAGGAAGTCAAGCTTTGCTTGACTTTCCTTTGCATTATTGTGTCCATCTTGGAGAGACTATAGAGAGTGATAATCAGAGCCTGGAAAAGAGGATCACTGGGGAGGGGTTAACCTAACAACAGAGGGGATCTGTGAACAGTCTTCGAATGCATGCAAATACAATGAAGGGAATAATTTTTCCCCCGCTTTCCCAGACTGAACTTAAATTGCTGTAAAGAATGCTGAAGTTGTATGTTCTAATGGCACAGCTGTCAAAGCAGCAGAGCAGGTTTCCCAGAGCGATCTGTAAGAGCAAGACAGACAAATCTTTCTTGGGAATGATGCAGGTACAGTGGCCCAAAGAAGGGTGGGCTAAGGTGTGCCCAGCCCACCTTGAGGTCCCCAGATAGGGTTGGGACTCTTTCTGTCAGGTGAGGGTCTGGTGCATCCAGATTTCCTGCGAAGGGGAAATGGAAGGAAGCCTCAACCCAGGCTTGCAGCTCAGTGTTTGAAATATTGAGTACAGTATTCTTAAGTCAAAGGTGTTTGTAAAGATGAAAAGCTAGATGGCTCTTAGAAACAGACTTTGTTCTCTGCCCTCACCATGCCCTACTCTATGTGCTCACTCATTTAGGTTTGCATGGGTTCATTTGTCATGAAGTTTTGCTTGTATTTTTTCCATGCTATATGTTTATTATATTTAGTATTATTATGATGATACCTAATATAATGCTTAAAATTTTTAGACATAGGACACCTGTGACAAAAATTTAAAAGACTTGGAACTAAAGCCTAAAAGCATTGTCAGAGACCAAGACTAGCCCTAATTTAAGTTAGTCAATAGGAAATGCAATTTTTCATCGCATCTAAATGTTAGAGTCTGTATTTAGAACACTATCTGTTGAAGACATTCTGGTCTGCTTATTTTACTGGGTTATACTTTGTTTCAAGACCTTTGTGCATTGTTTTCTTTATTTTTCCTTTTTAAAATTTTAATAATAAAAGTAGTGTTTAGCAGATAAACTGATTGGGAAAATTTGTACTAGTCGAATTATGTTTTCTTATTAAGGACAGGAGTTGAAAGAGCAGTCAGCATTCAAAGTTTAAATAGTTTAAATATTCTGAAGTGTACATCATCATAGGAAAAAATATATAATTGAATGAGTGTTTGTGTTCTTCAATATTTAAACCTTTTTCTTTAGTTATGTAGACTGACATGGCTGGATGGTCTTTGTTGTTTGGCACATACAGAGAATAACTTTTGGTATGGGTCAACTGTCTTTTGAAGATTCTATGTTTAACCTAGAGTTGCATTTCAACTTATTGCTCTGCTTTGTTTAATATAGCCTGAAATACTTAGGTAAATATATAACATGAAATAGCCAAGATATGCTAATTTTCATTAAGTGTAGATTTGAAGGCAGAGCATGAGAATTTCAAGACCTTTTTTCCTTTCATTCAGCACAAGCAACCGTTGTTATTTTGAGTAATTGTGCATATGTGGTGTTACACAGATGTCTGGAGTCTCCTCCTTAATCTAACCTTTGACCTCCACAGGATGTTTGCTTAGGAGAAAGAATCACTTGTGTGAGAAGTATACCTGTCTGTTCAAGCTGGAATGCTATGGTCTAGCCTGATTAAAATGAAAATTCAAATACCCGTATCTACTGAACTCTAATGAGTAGTTAATGTTAACAGAGAAGTAAAATGAATAAATATAAAAATTCCAGCTGGCTGCCCAGTGAGAGTGTTTTTAGGAAAAGAAAATTCATGATGACCATCAAAATAAAAGTATTTGTGAACTTCAGACTATGAAAGGAATTCTTCAAAAGAGATTTAAAAATTTATTGATGCATATCTGAGCACTATGGTACTCACAGCTAAATGAATAGGAAGGGTAATTGATGCTGGGTGTCTTCTTTGCTAATGTAAAAACACTTCACTGTTACTGAGTCTATGGATGTTAAGAGTAGCAAAATATCTTTCAACACCCATGTTTTCAGAAGTTTGTTGTTCTTCTGTACACAAATAATAATTTTTTCGCCTTTTCAACAGCAGTAACTATTCTTGCAAATAAATGTTGCTGAAGGGTAATAATTAGCATACAATACTATTTGTAAAGAATGGTATTCTATCTTGAAGGTACTAATTGGAAAAGTTCAGTGTTGAGTAGCCTTTGAAAAATACTGTCAATTTCATCTTCATAGTTGATGCATATTTAAAACTTATCAATTAAAATTACCTTGGGAAAATAAATATTGTTTTATGCCATATTTAGAAATAATTCTATTCTTCTGGCTCAGATATAGCAATCTAAAAGTAAAGTGTCTGCAGCCAGGCAATTTGGAAAAGTTTTCAATTTCTATTTTTTTTTTTTTACACCTGGATGTTTTTTTTGTTGCCAGTCACCATAATGGATATTTTAAAGCATGTTAGACAAGTTGGAATAAAATCAATATTCTTTTATAAAAAGCGGGTGCCCCTTAAAATTGCTTGTTTAGTGTTTAATCCTCTAATATTTGAAGGAATTAAGATTGGGGGTTTTTTTTCCTTACTCCATTTTTATTTGTTTACTGAAATAATTTATCACTCTGTGTTTACATATATCTTGAGCTATGTTGCATTAATTTATGTATCATTATTACCACCTATCATTGTAAATTTAATTATTTTACTTAGGACTGTTTAAGCGAACATCATGGGTTTAGTGTCACATGTAAAAAGGGAGTAAGTTTAACATTTTCAAGTTTGAACTAAAAGGTAAAAATGTCCTTTCTTTAATACAACAGAATACAGTACAATCCACAGTCCATCAACCCCCATTAAAGATTCAGATTCAGATAGATTGCGTCGTAGTTCAGATGGGAAATCACGTGGACGTGGCAGAAGAAACAATAATCCATCACCACCACCTGACTCTGATCTAGAGGTATATTATATTAAATATCTTTGGCCTGTTGCAGGCTCTATTTTTATCATTATTTTGTACAGAGAAGTATTATTTACACATTGAAAATAAAGTGGCATTGGAGCTCCCTTTCTTTTCTGACAGTATTTTCATAGAAGATAGGATTTCTCTTCTAATGAACCTTCTTCATGAAGAGCTCCTACTTTCTGTGAAAAATACTGGGTGTTTCTTTGTCCTTTTGATTAAAACAAAGTAAACAAACAAAACAAAACCAAAACCAAAAGGAACAATCTTTTCCCAAGGCAAAGAAAAGTTTGCATTTGGACAGGAGACACTTCATGCACAATAGTGGAGTTTGTTCTCTCATGTTATGTTCACATCCCTCCCAGTGGCCCATGGTTTATGTTGAGAACACATCTCCAATGACACACCACAGCTATGAGTGTCCGCACTGCATTACTTTTCCTTTCCAAAAGCTTAGCCCATTTGTCATCATGGGAAATACAATCTCAACAGGATTTAAAATACTTGTATTTGAACACTTTATTTTTCATTAAAATACCATTTTGTGTGTGGTCAGACAACAAATTTAAAACACATATTTTCCATTGTCTGTAAGCAAAAAGGATCATTTACTGGTGCAATAAATTCTTACACATGCATCATCAAAGTTCATAATTTTCATTCTTCAGGTTCCTAAAATACATTAAAAATTAACATAGATTAAGAGGATATAAGTTCTTAGCAGCTATTTGCTTTATTTTAGTTTTGGAGGTAATTTCCAGAGCAGATTTATGAACTTTGTTTGCTAAGACTTGCAGAAATACAGAATTCAGTCCCTGAAGATTTCACTTTCAGAGGCTTCTCTTCATTTATTTCAGTTTCTATCTCACATCTGGCTTTAAAAAATACATTGTACAGTCTCATTTTCTGGGTATATTTGACAATAACTATAATTCTATTCTAACAGAATAATTTGATATAATAGCAATTGTAGTAAAAAAACCTAACAGATTGTATTACCTTATTTTGGAAAAAAGTCCTTCTTGTTAGTTTTGAAAATAAATGGCAAGGAAACTATGGTTTTCATATATGACCATTTCAATACAATTTTCCCATTTGTGTGCTTACTGATTCAGCTTCTAACTTTCCATTTCAAGTATCAGCTTCACAGAGGAACACATTGATTTGATTCTCTTTTTACAGAGAGTATTCATTTGGGATTTGGATGAGACAATCATCATTTTCCATTCCTTGCTTACAGGGTCCTATGCTAACAGATATGGAAGGGTAAGTGTCAAGAAATTTTCAGTAATTGCTGTTTTATGGTTGATACACAAGGAGGACCAGAATATTAGTTGATTTTCTTGAGGCAAACCTGTACTGGTGTTTTAAGACATAAAAAATCAAGAAGTAAAGCTGTTTCATGTGTCCATTCTTTGTACTTATACAGCTCTTATGGTCAGTAAATATTTAAATAGTGTTGGGAGTAATATTTTGACCACTTGAGGTTGGTTGGTAAATACAAGTTGTCTGAAACCTGTTGATATCATCAAGATCGGCAAAGGTTTACCTCCCTTGAGAGAGTGAAGAACTTCTAGGAGTGATTGCTAAAACAGCATTTTAGTTCTGACAGGTCATCAGTGTGCTGTGGTCTGCATTGAGAAGGCAAGAAAAAGATTAGTCTAAAATTTTTTACTGTAATTTTTTTAAAATCTGCATATTGACTGATGTTTTTGAAAGTCTGCTTATGAGTCAAATCTTTCTATTATGTTCAGTCTATAAATCATAACTGAACTGATGAACATGTCTACAGACTGTGAGTTTCCTTGGTAATTCTCAGAAGAGAAACATGGTCTTAGATGAATAAGAACAGTTTATGAATGATATGCCCTTATGAGATCAGACTTTGTTTTTCCAGGATTGTATTTGAAAGCTAAAGTCTCAGCTTGTGCTAAAATCTATTATGCCATTTCATGTTCACCTCACGTGATGTATAACTGGAATGTGATTTTTTTGTTAACCTTAAAAATTTCTACATGTCAAGAACAAACAGATAGTTCTGTCTGGCTTTGTGTAATAACTCCATCTTCTTGCAAAGCTTCTATCTATCACTAAAAGGTTTTACCCTACACCCAGTTGAGTGATGGGCAGAGCTACCTCTGATTCAGTTTGTGCCTTGGTCAGATTCCGAATTTCTCTGAATAGCATTTTGCATTATAAAACTCTAAGGCATACTACTTTGCAACCTTTCTTACTTGTTCAGGTGCAGTGTATTTTCAGAAATGTTTGCTGTAATAGCAGCTTACCTGTTTGAGAAATATAATCAGGTTGTTTTCATTCTGTGTCAGAAAAGCAAGTTGATTCAGTAGTCTTTGTTTCCTGGGTGGTGTTAGTTTATATTTAGGTAGTAAAAAGACATTAGGACTTTAAATGTTTCAACAGTTATTGTATGGATACATATAGACAACAGCTATATAGAGTATTGAATATTTGCCAGAAGTTATTTTCCTTTTTTAAGGCTAATACCAGTTTTTGCATGCATCCCAAAAATCACTAAATCTATGACAGTTTGGTTTAGAATGAGGAGACCAAATCCCCGTGCTCAAAAACCCCTCAGTGACAACAGAATCCCACAACAGGCTTTTGGGCAGCAGAGGAGCACATTAGGCATAGCCATAGAAGTACTTGGATGAGCATATTTTTTCCATTTGTTACTAGTTCCCTGTAGTGGATTCATTAATTGGGGCCTGAACATAAACACCTTTCTTGCTGGATGCTTGAAGTTGAGGAAAGTGTCTAGTATTCTGTTGCAAAGAGGTATGAATACATATGCTTCAAGGAGTCAGGTGACTCCTGATAGCAGCTCCATCACCGCTGGCACTGTTTACTTGAGATGTAGCTTTTGCCCAGCTGCCTCTGATTGCATGGCATCTGGCATAATATTTCTGCATTTCTAAACAGCAGCCAACTGTTGATGTTGTTAGGAATGATGGCATTAGTGCTTATGGTGTGGATAAATATTAGATCTTTTTGGTGAGGGGTAGCAACATCTATGCCCTTGGCTCAGATGCTGTCATGAAGCTGTGCCATTCATGTTGAAGTTTCTTGTAGCTTATTGGCAGCTTCAGACAACTGTTAGCAATTTCCAAGCATGTTAGAGGAAGATAGTGTCAAATGTTCAAAGCAAACATGCTAAAACATATATCTGTCATATGAGAATTGTAGGGTTTATTTGCAGCAACAGGAGGCGCATGTTTTTAAAAGACTGTTTCCTTGTGATTGCTGGCCTTTAAAATCAGAAATTCAGATCATAAGTCAACCTGACAAAAAATATGTTGAGGGGAATTTCTGTTCTTTTCACCTGTATTCCATTTTTTGAGCGCTCTAATGTCATATTCTCTTATATTTCTACACTGTGGTGAGAGCTAGAAATGCCCTTTTAAAAAAATAAATCTAAGCTGCTCACATAATCATTAAAACACAAAAGCTGGATCTTCAAACAAACAAAAATGTCCTAATTAAATAATAGGGGATTTGGCAACTTGGCATTCAGCTCTTTTCATAGTGCCTGAGTGAGTTTCATGGTGAATGACTATGAATGATGTGCGGCCCTGCTGCTGAAGAGATTGATTTTCTTTTCCTTATTCTCTACCTTGTTCCTCCTAACTTCTTCCTTGTGCCACCCTTTTCAGTATATTCTTACTTTCTCATGTGTTTTTATCACCTGCTCTCCTTTTGCTGCTATTGTGCACTATTTTCTTCCTGGTTTTGTCCTTCAGCTTTCTTTGCACAAAATAACAGCTTTGTTTTTCAGATTGTGCAGTTGTGGCAAAACCAGCTGCATAAACTACTACATTTTTATGTAATGATGATTTAAATTTTGTAAAAATTTAGTGAATTTCATGAAAATGAACTTCACTAAATTAATATCAATTCCATAATTCAGTATGGGATTATGAAACCATGGGAATATTATTTGTACTTCCAGAAGCAAAAAAAAAGAATCAAACCAAAACATTTACATTTGCTCTTGGATTTTTTTTATTTAATGTGTACAGATGTAGTGATCAAATATAAAATTATCATTGACATTAGGGCTGACTAAATTTTGGAATTTTGAAAAAAGTTGGAGCCCTTCTTTAGTGTCTTGGAGCAGGTCAAAATGTCTCAGTATTAGCATTAGAATACTGTGGTCTTTACATGCATTTCCATTCTCAGTGAAACCAGTCATAGAGAATTTAAAGGAATTTTTCTTTAAATGATAAGATATTTTAATGTAGTTTAATATATGTTAGAGATTGAGAAAAACAACGACTGGTTTCACTTAACCCTTCATTTGTGACCTGTAGACTTAAGTGGAAAATAAGTCTTGTACTCAAAGTGAACTTTCCTGTTTTTCAGCTTCTTGTTTCTCCACAAAACAAAGAAATCAAGTGGGCAGAATTTAAAAATGACATGCAGGCAACGTTTTGGCTCCAACATCAGTATTCAAAACAAAAGGCCTGCTTAAGCAGTTTGACATTGGTATTTCTTTTCTTTAGCTAAACTGTACCTCCCTCAGAGATTTGTACCTGATTTTGACCATACCTGAAAAGACACTCTGACTGAACCTGCAAATCCCAGGCAACAAGAAGAGATTGTTAGCTTTCCTACTCAATTGTGTGACACCTCACAGTAATTAGTTAGCAATTAGTGGCTTAAAATTGCAAAAGAAGGTTCGGTATGGGCTTATTTTTTAAAAACCTTGTTCTAGCCTTGTCTTTTTTGAAGTTTACAGCCCCTGCTGTAATGTCTGAGAATCAGAGTTTGATTTACTGTAATGCCTTAAACCAAGGCTCTTGTGTTTTTTTAGTACAGCATTTGTAAGTTTGCAACTAAGCATATATTTAAAACAATTATGCAGATAAGGCTTTTGCATCTGTTAAATATGTGGGTTTCCAGAGCTACAGTTTAACACAGATTTTGGGCTAAGTGGAATCTTCTATACAAAAAGACTGTGTTTAATCAAGGAGTTAAGATCTCTTTGAAAAGCAACCCATTTTGTTTCTTCTCTTTACTTTCTCATTATTTAATTTGACATTTTCAGTAGGTGCCAACGATTTTCTTACTTTTCTCCTAATTAAATTAACCCAATAAATTACCTTATTTAGTATTTAGAGAAATGCCATTGTGGTTTTTTTCTACCATGTAAAAATACCTCAGAGTGAAATAGTTCGAAAGCTTTACAAAAAGCTGGTTTTTTCAGACTCCAAAATGTCATAAAAATGTTTAATAAAAATGTTTCATTTAAGTCTTGTGTAATCTGAAACTTAAAATATGTATTTGCATTCATTTGTTTAAAATTGTATGGGTTCATAGCCAATATCATGCTCTGTCTGCCCATTGATTCTGCTTTTCAAAATGATGTTCCTATTTATGGCTGGAGGCTCAGAATGGATTCAGTTGTATATTGTTGCATTAGCAGTTGACAATCAAGATGTAGCTAGTGATCTTCATTTACATCTTAGACCCTTAGCCCATCTAATTCCTTTTAATAACTAGAGCAGAGGTTTCTGTGGGTGACTTCTGTTAGTGCTCAGGCACAACAGAAATCCTCTTCTTGTTTAAAATAAAAAAAAAGACTGATGAACTGTGTAGGACATGGAGTAGTAACTGGGCACAAAGATAAGCAAGAATGTCAGGGGGAAAAGTAGCCTCAGGCCTAGCTTGAGACAAAATACCACCTGCTTTCCACCTCACATGCCTACAAAAGTAAAGGAAGGCATAAAAGTAAAGTAAAGGAAGGCATAGGTCTACAAATAGAGCAATATTAAAACAGAGAGAATAATTTTGTTCATATTTTAAAGTCTTTCCATTTGAATTAAGAAGCCAAATATTCTTTTTTTGGCCATGCCTGTTTAAATAGAAGGGTTATTTTTAAGGCCAAAGTTCATCAAAATAGCATGATACAATTTTTCTTTCTCATTTAGTAGGATTTTTTTTTAACATTAGAAAACTTACTCTTCATGTATGTGAGTTCAAGAATAGCTACTTTGTCTGTTCTATGTAGCTTTGTTTCTAAATTTACAAAATTATTTGTCTGGTTAGTAGTTCTTGGGTTTTGGCGTTTCCAGAAGGCAAACAGGCTGCCAAATCACCATTTTTTTCCAACTCTTTGCTACTGACACATTTTACCTTTTAACCAGTAGTTACAAAAAACTGTTTGAAAGTTCAGAGATCATGTTGAAACACCTATTAATTTGATCAAGAGGTGGAAAAAGAATCTAGGGACTGCATCTCTTGCTTTTTAACTGAGTTGTCATCAAGTTTAGAATATTAACTTGGTTTAAGTAAAATATGGGTTGTCACTTCTGCAGTTCTATTTAAAATATAATTCCTAACAAACTAACATTGTTAATAGAGGGTGTCATGAGATAATATAACATGTTCTTTCAAACTCATGCTTCTGTGCACTTGGTTATACTTGGCATTATAAATGAGAAATTCTATATCAAATGTATGTATTAGGCTTTCCTTTAGTTTTTTCAGATTGAAAATATATAAAACAAAAAAAAAATCAAAACAAGACAAACATCTGTAATGCATTTGGTAACCACAATGCTGAACATGCTTTTTGAGTTTATTAGCTCAGTAAGGACTAAGTTGTTATGGTAATTTCTGTAGAGAAGTTAAAGTGTGTTATGTATTAATAACAAACAATAGATTTGTTCACTCTGCATGGGTGGGCCAAACTGAAAGCGTAATTAAAGCATGGTTTTGTGGAGAATCAAGGAGTGGGTTTAAATATAATTGCCATTTGCAAATAAAACATTTATGGTTCTTTGCTTTAAAGTCACTAGGTATTCCCAGGACCAAATCCTGTCACTTGTGACCAGTGAGAGTTTATTTTGAGCAGCAATAGCATTATCATGCCCCTGGTTGGTCATAAAACTTGTGAACAGTAGTAAAACCTGGAGAAGTTTTAGGTGAAATGGATTTGCCCTTTCTGCATGGAGAGCAAAGAGCCTATGCCAGGGATGCATGAGGGTGACTACAAAGGTCCTACTGCAAAATCTTGATGTCAGTAAAGTCACATTCTTGAGTGTTACTGGTAAGTGTGGTAGTACAGGATTAGACAGTTAGTGAAGTTAAACTGACAAAGCAGATGTTGCATTTAGTACAAGTGATATCTCTTGAAAAGCTGTTACTCCAGTTTGTATTCTGGTATGTATATTAGGCAAGATATTGATGGTGTACTTGCTTAATGTCTTCTTTAAGGATCCACCCACTTCTGTGTCCCTTGGACTCCGAATGGAAGAGATGATTTTCAATTTGGCAGACACACATCTATTCTTTAACGATTTAGAAGTAAGTGTTCATTCTTCTAAAATACAGAGATGATTTAATATTTAATGTTTGTCTCTTTTATGTATTCTTAGATGGTTTGACAGTTATTTTTGGTTTCACAGTTTCAATATGGAAATACTTAGAAGTAGCTGTATAATTTTGTCATTAGGATATATAATAATATCTGCCCTAAATGTCTACACTGGCATTCAAAGGTTGCAAGAATTAAAATGGTAGAGTTTTGCCCTCACAGTTTTAGTATTATGACGACAGTAGACAAATTTCAGAAGTGGATACACCAAAAGCATCTATAAACACCAGAATTCAGTAGTCTGTGCAGGGCATTAAAATTAAGCTTCAGTTTCTTTAAACAGTTAATGTCTGGGTACAGATTTCTTGCTTGCATCCCACTGTGGGCAATGGTTGCCTTATCCCTAAGGGAAGTCATTAATGTTGCGTACGCTGTCTGTCTCAGTGGCCTATTCCTGGGGGTCCTCTGCCTTCCCTGGCAGCAGGTATGATTTGCTATCTGCTAGGGATTCTCTGCTGCACATGCCTCTGCTCTGCAGCATGCAGTGAGGAGCTAGTGTTGGCATGCCAAGGGTTTTTTCAGCCTACATAGGCTATGGTTTGGTGATACTTGTGAGATCGTTCTAAAACTATCCAAACTGCTGAAAGAGACTGTCACTGTAGTGCACTGTAGTGCCTGGCTGTTTCATCTTAAAAGGGAAAGAAGCAATTTCTGATCATATTTTAATAACATGAAAACATGAAAACAGTCAGATTTCTTTCCCATCATAGTGAAGACAGCTGTTTATTTAAAATCCAGCTGTTAAGCAAGCTTGTGGTAGGGCTGCCAACACACATTAATCATCAAGTTGTTGTTTTGCTAGATTTTAGAATAGTGTGTTATCCCAGACAGGCAAAAGAATCTAAAAGATTCAAATGCAACTTTTGCTGATCAAAGTTAATTGGCAGCAATTGGCCTTTAAATATTTCCTGATGTTTCCCTTTTCAAAATCAAGCAAAATACACCTTATTTAATAGATGAGCCAAAATAATTTGAAAAATGCCAGTGTGTGATAGACCTCAAATGTGGTTTGTGCAACATCTGTCCTATATTTTGATTTCTTTTCATCTGAAAAGAAACCACTCACATATGATTTGGCAACTTAGAATGTAATGAAATTATTTAATGTGCTTTATTTTTTTTCCGTTCCTTGGAGAAGCATTTATTTTTTATACTTGCAATAAAATAGCTGACTTCTTTCAATTTTAAAGTAGTGTTTTCTTTCATTAAGGTAGCTATATGTAAAGAGATTATTGTTTTGGATATAAGAAGCACCAATAGTGAGTTGCATGTATAGGACTGATTTTTTAGATTTGTCTAAAAGTATAGCAATGCTAGTTATTTTCCAGATCTGTTTCTGATTTCTGGTTATATTTCATTTTATTCAGACCAGAATGAGAAAGTACTACTGTATCTTACCAGAATATACAATGAAGTTCAGTGTGTTTTCATTTGCTGTATCTGCACATGTAGCTACTTCATATGTGATTGTCAGCATCACTGACTTTACGGAATGGAAGTTAATCAATCACATCTTAGGGATGGTAGATTATCTTCTAGACAGCTAGCAGACATGTTGCAGCCTTAACAGTACAGCTAACCAGTTTATTCACTGAAGAACTTTGAAGCTGTGTGTGAAAAAAATACTGATCCAGGTAGTCCTTGGAAGCAGAGGAGCTCACTAGATAAGCTTGGTTCTTTGCATCTCCCCCATAACAAGCCGGTTTATCTTGCATCTCCAAACTCAAGTGTAATAGTTTGTGTCTATACCCTAGTCTGTCTTCTTCATACACAGGTGTGCTTAGGAGCGAGAAGTTGTGGTTGTCTTTGTACATGAGCATTAAGTCCTTATTCCTGAGGAACATGAGCTGCAATCTGAAAAATTATGCCTTGTCCAATGAGTGAAGAGCATGTTCAGCATGCCTGGCTTAGTGCTTGTGCATTGCCATAGAGAAATACACAGAGAAGGGGCATAAGAGAGCCTGTACTTTGTGGGAAGCAGCCTGTAAGGATTAGACCTCATCACAGACTGAGGCTTTCAGTTCCCTAGAAATTTCATGGGTTTTGAAACATGTCACAGACACAAGATATGTTGAAGGAGCATGTCCTCCTGGAGCCTTAATTTATCATTCTTGTGAGCACCACCATTTTACTAGCAGGGCCTGTCTGTTTCCCAAGGTCTGAAACCTCGGGGCAGATTCCTCACATCAGTCTCTGAAACTCAAAGTCCTTGCTTGGTGGTTTGGATGTTCAGGCTGCTCATAGCTTGACAGGTTTCCGTGAAAACTGCAGGCAATTTGGCTTGGATGTGCCTCAGGCTTAAATCGTATGTTCTCACTGATGAAGGTCTGAGTCTGAAAGATCTAGTGGTGACCTTGCTCAGGCCTAAGCTTTCCAGTTCATGTGCACAAGCATCTGGGAGTCAAGAAGTTTGTAGGCAATGTTGCCAATAAGCTGCAGAGCTTGGGCATCCTTGCCCAGCAATAGTATGAAGATAGGCAAAGTTGGATTTGGCACATATCTAACCCCCAGAGTAGACATGTCTTTGGGTCTAGGCTTAATTCAAAGTGGGAACCTGAAAGCTGATGCTCTCCAGCTCACCCAAGCTCAGAGGGAACCCTTCCTGGCACATAGAGCTTCTGGGTTTACGGGCAAGCAATCATCTGTCATAACTTTGGCCTATGATGCACATTTTTCATGATACCACAAGTTAATATTTTTTAATAAAAATCTTCTTTCATCTGACACATTCCAGAAAAGTCTAATCAGAACAGCTCTCTTGTGATCCAAGTAAAAATACTGCTTTTTCTTACAAACCAATGAAGACTGATTTAACATTTTGAATGCTAAGGACAGAGTTGCAACAGTGATCTCTGAAGCACAGCTTGATTTGTGTACTACCTAAGTGGCTTTTCAAAGCTCAACCTAGAGATTTATTTAATGTTATCAGGTTAAATTCTAAACTTCAGCAGTCATTTTTCGTCTGCATAAAGTAAGTAAATGCCAATGTGTATCAATTGCAAACTAATTTACCTATCTGAATTTAGCAGGGGGTACAGCCAGGTAAATGAGTCATCTATGTATGTTGCTCTTTATGTAATAGTAATTATAATAATGGTATTTGTAACTTCAGTTTTCAAACTCAATGAAAAAAAATCAGTCTGATTTCACCACTCTGAAATCAGTACTCTGTTTATGAATGGGTGAGCTGCATTTAGATTTGCAGTTACATACTGTACTAGTTCTTAGTTCATTCCTTTGTAAAAGGTAAAATAAATGGCTTGTGTCCTTCACTTTGCACAGATTTATTTGAAATAATTAGTTCCAAAATTATGTAATAGCAAATAATTCCAGATCTCAAGGAACATTGCTTAAACATCATGTAAAAGAGGTATGACAAGTTTTTTAACATACTGAAAGGAAAAATATTAATGTTTACTTATATATAATTTGATCTAAGTACTATCGTAAATAATGTTTTCTTGCATTAATACTAATTCCATAATGAAATTATAGATGTATACCAGGACAAACAGTAGAAAATAGTGCAGTGTTCTTAAAATTTAGATTCCAAAATCTGCATTTGTGCTTCCAAATAAGAAGTTCAGATTTTCAGTATTGAAAATTTTCATTTAAATAGCTCATACTCTCTGTTCTATAGTTGAATTTTAATAGTGTGCAGGAGGGAATAACTACGTTGATGTAGTGGTCTCAAGAGAATCAGAGTTACCTCATATGAAAATAATGTTTGATTTTACATGCTGATTATGTTGTGATAGTAATAATAAGGTATAATATTTTAATGGTGTATATGGAGCAATTACACATATTAAGTATTTTAGGATGTATGCTCCAGTGTTTTAAGGAAATTAGAAACTTGATGATAGGACTGAAATGTGACATCTACCTATCTCATCACTCACCGTGGTGATTGTCTCTGGTGCAGGCATGTTCGACAGCAGAGTAGGGGATTGTGGCTTATTGGGGGGGCTTCCTGAGCCAGAAAAATGCTGAGGGAGCACAGAGACCCACCAGGAGCCAGCAGCTCTCATGAGAATGGCTGACTCTCCTGATGTGTGCAAGGCCAGGAGTAATGGTGGCCACCTCCTCTTCCCACATAAGGCACAGTGAGCATTGTGACCAGGAGCACTGCAACCAGGGCAGGCAGACAGGTCATGTTGAGGTAGTTTGCTCAGGAAGGTGTGCAGGAAGGATGCCTCCTCACAGGAGGGACATTTCAGTGGCCAAGTGGAGAGTCTTGAAGTCTACATAACCCAGCAACCAGGCAGCATTCTATGGCCATCTGCACTGGCACTCATTCCACCTGACCCCCAAGACAGAATGGTGGGCACTCATGTGAGAGCAAAGGCTGCAGCTCCAATGGGAGATCTGCACCATCTGCCCTGACAGTGGCCAGTGCCTCCACTCAGACAGAACTGCTGAAGGGAGAGGCTGCAGTGCAGAACTCAGACTGCAGAAAGTGCCTAGACCTTTCTCCTGGGGCAGGGAGACCTGCCTGCCAGTAGTATGCCAGGTGCAGGACCTCCTGCAGCAGGTGACTGATCTGCAGGAGGTGGTGGGAAGGGTGTGTAGCATCAGGGTGGCTGAGAAGGAGTTATATAGCTGGTTCCGAGTTCTATCTGCTGCCAACACACAGACCATGGCCAAACAGCCGAAAAATCCCCCACTGGCACACACAGAAGGGAGAGGGGTCCAATAATGTAGAAGAATGTAAGGTTGCAATGGACAAGTACCTGCAGGAGGAAGACACTTCCTCCAAAGCCTGAGTTGCCTGTGCAAAACCATTTCACCCCTGTGCACACTAGAAAGGAAAGACCAACACATCAGGAGAGATGCTGGGGCTGAGGAAGGCAGCCTGACCTGGCCCCCCTATGACAACCAGAGCAACTAGCAGAAGGTGTGAGGTGATAGTAGTAGGTGACTCACTTCT